ACATGATTAAATAAATTGCAAATAATGACAGCTGGGTTTCTTTTTTTGCAGTTCTTACACAGGTTACTTCTTTGTCTTTGCATGTGTCCTGAGACAATGGACATCCTTGTCTTGTATCTGATTTTAAGGGAATATACTCAGAGGTTATCGTCATGTTTACTGTTTTTGTTATATAACCTTTGTCAAGTTAGGGGAGTTTCCTCCTAAATCCTATTCTGCTGAGAGTAATTTTCTTAGTGATAAATAGGTATTGACTTTTATCAAATACTTAATGTCCTAAATGTACCAGAGCATTGGGCCACAACGTGACCCTTCTCAGAGAGTATCTTAGATGATTAGAGTCATATCGCAGCCAGGGATTCAGAAACCCAGTCTCCATTCCTGGCATGCCACTAGCCAACACAACCTTCCGAATCTTGCTGGCCTAATTTGTAGAGTAAGAGGATTGGGTTAAATATTCTAAGATCTCCCTTCTTTTATCACAAACAGAAAGAGTCTCCATGGTCTCATGTAAGTTAAGAGTCCCTTTTTTCTTAGAAATGATTCTCTACTTCAAAATGTAGTTGTTATTTTTAATTCTTTTCACAATTAAATGTCACTTTTGTTCTCAACTGATTTCAAAATGATCTAGTCTTAATGTATTCTATGAATGTATCAATCGTATGAATTTATTAATATTATGTAGAATATTCTGTCCTATCCACCTTTATTCAGTATTCAGTTTTAAAGTACTAATCAGCAACACATACCATGGCTCTGGTTCCCTACCCCCTGTGTCTCCAGTCCATGTGGTATTTCTTGTACCACATTTAGCTTGATAACAGCATTGCCAAAGCCACGCCCTTTGTTAATCTCCCTGCTCCACTTTCTGCGTGCTTTCTGTCTGCACAGCTGTCCCATCAGAAAGCTCATTTCTTTCAGTCTCTCACCTTCCACATCAAACACCAAGCCTTCCAAAAGCTACCTTCTAAATCAAACCATCTATTACCCTGCACCCCCTGGCCAAGACCATAATCTACCTCAATTACTGCAGTGCCCTTCTAACTAGTTTCTATACTACCCATCACACACACACACGCACACACCCAACCCCCATTCCATTCTTCACAATGTTCTTTCTAAAAGAAAACTCCAAACTCTTCAGTGGTTCCCCACTGCCTTCAGGATCAAGTCCAGACTACTTGACATGCCTTGTAATTAGGCTGACTGTATAACCTAGCATCCCAACTTGGCCACTCTTGAGAATGTAAGGAGCACTATTTTTTTTTTTTTTTTATTCTCACCCAAGGACATGTTTTTTGTTGTTGATATTTTATTCAGATAGAGTGGAAGGGAGAGAGAGAGAGAAACATCGATATTAAAGGGACACATCGAGTGGTTGCTACCCACACGACCCAGCCAGGGCCAGGAACAAACTGCAACCAAGGTACGTGCCTTTAGCGGGAACCGAACCCGGGTCTCTCCAGACCGCAGGCCAACGTTCTAACCACTGAGCCAAACCGGCCAGGGCAGAAAGGAGCACTATTAATATTAGCACAGGAACAATGAGTGTAAACTGTCCCAGGCAAGCCAGGATGCTGCTCACCTTGTTTATGAAGCCCTTTGTTACCTGACCTCCACCTGCCTCTCCACTGCACATTGAAACTTCACTTCTGTGAAACCCTCTGTGGTCCCCAGACCTGCCAGTCCTCTCTCACCACCTGTCTCTACTCTGAATAATCTGTGGCCCCATCCACCTTCTGTGTTTGGCTCCCTGAGGACCAGGTCCCTCTCTGGCCTCTTTTACTGTGTGGTGTCATCTCCTTCTTACCTGTCTAGATGAGCTTAGAGAGCTGCAACTCTTACAGCCTTTAACAAGGCATGATCACCACCGGACTGCGTTACTCTCGTTGCAGCTTCCTCTGCCTCTCACCTCAATCATTTCCGGTAACATCTCCATCCAGCCAGAGTCTGTCCTGATGGCTGGTATATGAAGTAAATGTTTATTTAACTGAATTGAAGACGGTAGACAGTTGGCCATTGCAGAAAAGAGTGTTTTGTGCCCTGCTCGGTTTGGCTAAGTGGTTAGAGCATTGGCCTGTGGACTGAAGGGTTGCGGGTTTGATTCCTGGTCAAGGGCACGTACCTGGGTTGCAGGTTTGATCCCCAGCCCCAGTGTGGGTCGTGGGGGAGGCATCCAATCGTCTCACATCAATGTTTCTCTCTCTCTCCCTCCCTCTCTTCCTTCCACTCTCTCTAAAAAGCAATGGAAAATATCCTCAGGTGAGGGAGGGAAGGAAGGGAGGGAGGGAGGGAGGGAAGGAAGGGAGGGAGGGAGGGAGGAAAGGAAGGAGGGAGGGAGGAAGAGTAAATAATGTTTTTAAATTCATAAATATTGTTCAGCTTAGATATTTAATTTTTGGCTTATCTATTATGCTTTATCATAGATGTTTTCACATTCATTCACTCAGCATTTATTTTGCATGTCTATGAGTTAAACTCTACATCTAGGCACCAGGAATACTGCTGTGCACAAAACAAAACTCCTGTCCTGGAGAAGATAAATAAGTAAACAGTAAATAATAGATGTCAAGTAGCATTGCTGCTCTGGAGACAAATGAAGCAGAGTCAGGGATATGGCAGGGTGTTGATTTATGTAGAGTGGTGAGGACACCCTGTTGCGGTGACATCAGAGCAGACCAGAGCCACATCAGGAACTGGAGGAAGAACTTCCAGGCCCTGGGAGCAGCAGGTACAAAGGTCCCGAGGTAGAAAAGTGCTGCTGGGTGTGAGGAGCAGTGGGAAGGTCAAGTAGGGCGCCCAGCATGGTCAGGACTTGGGTTTTATTCTGGGCACGAAGGAGTGGCGTGTTGTGACCTGAATGTGAAAAGGCCCTCTCAGGCCACTGAGCAGAGAACGCACAGTGGGGGCCTGGGCAGGAGCAGAGAGGCTGGTTGGAGGCTGTTGAAAGATTCCTGCCAGAAGAGATGAAGACTTCAACTAGGACGGTAGTGTTAGAAATTGTGACTGGTTTCAGGATTTGTTTTCAAGATAGACTGATAAGATTTGCTGATAGATTCGTTGTGTACTGTGGGAAAGAGGAAATTCAAAAATAGCTCTAGGTGTTGGCTGGGTTCGGCTTGGGGGCGGTGAATGAAATAGTTGTTGACACAAAACCCCTTTCAGTTGGGAGTTAGTGACTGAGGGTGATAATCCCCTAGTTTAGTTCCCCAAGGTGTTTGTGCAGAAGGGTGAACAGTGTGGAGGCAGGAGCTGGGTGCCATGAACAAATGGAGAGTAGATCAGGAAAGGAGGCCTGAAGAGGGCTGGGGTGCCAGGAGACGTGGGCGTAAGATAAGGCCTGTCGGCATACGTCCCAGGCCCCTGCCCCTCTCACCCCTACAAAGAGCCTCCAAAATTTCTAAATTGGCATGTTCTGAGCAGTTTAACTTGGCTTGTAACTTTCAAACATACTTTTATTTACTTTTGACCTCTAAGACATTTCATTGATAGTAAAAACATAAACAGGATGTTAATTCATTTATTTGTTTCATCCTTCTTCTTCTTCGGAATATTATCCAATTTAGTCTTTAGCTCTAAAGATTATGAAAAATACTTTTCTAGTACTTGGTACCACTTTTGTTTGAAGATAAACAGTGCTGGGGATAAGATTAGCATCAGCATGATAGCGTATGCCTTTGTTGGTTCTATGGCTCATAATGATATTATAGGGCATATGGTTTGATGTGGGGTACAGAAACTGCTTAATAATAATTCTACTATGTGCTTGTGAGCTCTGCCCTTGGACCTGAGCACCCAGGGCAAATGAGATCTTTAATCTGAAAGGAGACTTTTTAATTGGATGAATATACATTCTGCAGAGGAGTATAAATTATCATCCAGGATATTTGGGTCATTTTTCTTAAGCTCTTTTATATAAGACATGTTTCTTTTATACCAAAAATTAGAAGCAGACAAGTCACCCATAAGCCACTACATGCTGAACTAAACCTATTCAGTCCACGAGTGACTGCAGATCTGGTGCGCGCAGCCATTCTTACCCCATTTTGAACAGCTCCATCTGTCTGTCCATCTATAAAGAGCGAGATGAATTTACAAGTGGGCTTGCAAAATTCAGCATATTTCCTGTTTCAGAAAAAATTATATCCTTTTGAGGATATTCTTGTTGGCATTTATATGTTCCGGAGATATTAATTCCTGTACTTAACAAATACCTTTTGTGTGCCTGCTCCGTGCCAGGCACTGCCCTAGCCCCAAAGGAAATAGCAAACGAGACTTCTTCCTGCTTACGCTCTCACAATAGAGGGAAGACAGAAACCAACTATTTACAAAGTTATTTCATTACAGCAGCACCCACCTGGGGGGTCTTCCTAACTAGACATTAGACTCACAAGACTTTCATAGGGGCCACAGTAGGGGCCATAGAGCAGTCAGCCCAGCAGCCGAGGACTTGTCTCCTCCCTCAGGCCCCACGGTGACTGCTCAGGTTTAAGGGCATGAGATCCATATTGGTGGGTAATAGCTTCGCCTTGGCCTAGAAGCCCCAAGCCTCACAGAATCCATTGTCCCTTATAACAGCCTGATGGGCAGTTTCCAGGGTCCCCACAGGGATGTGCTGGGTGCAAGAATCACTGCTCTAAAGCCCACACTGATGGCAAACCCACCAGGTGTTTATATGTTTTTCCAGTCCGGTTGCAATGTATAAATCAGAGGTTATTTTTACCATAAGCAATGTTGCTGACATTCCACCTTTATCAAGTTTCCAGAAAACAGAGCCAGAAATTATCTTAAGGTCAAGTTTGTCCTTAGAGAAGGAGAAAGTGTTGTGTTAACCCATTACTTAGCAGTTACTTTTGTCGTACGTGCGTCAGAGAAGTTGTTCAGAGTGAAGAGCATGTCTGACTGAGGTGCTGGTGCCACTGCTGTGTTTCTTATGCAGCAAATGTTAAGTGGTTTCGACATAGACATAGCGGTACTCTGACACCCTCTTCATTTTGCAGATAAGTCATCATGGTGAAAAGCCACATAGGCAGCTGGATCCTGGTTCTCTTCGTGGCCACATGGAGTGACGTGGGTCTCTGCAAGAAGCGAGGGAAGCCTGGAGGAGGAGGCAGCACTGGGGGAAGCCGATACCCAGGGCAGGGAAGTCCTGGAGGCAACCGCTACCCACCCCAGGGAGGTGGAGGCTGGGGTCAACCCCACGGAGGTGGTGGCTGGGGACAACCCCATGGTGGCGGAGGCTGGGGACAGCCCCATGGTGGCGGAGGCTGGGGACAGCCCCATGGTGGCGGAGGCTGGGGTCAGCCCCATGGTGGCGGAGGCTGGGGTCAAGGTGGTGGCAAGCACAACCAATGGGGCAAGCCCAATAAGCCGAAAACCAACATGAAGCACGTGGCCGGAGCTGCCGCAGCCGGGGCAGTGGTGGGGGGCCTGGGAGGCTACATGCTGGGGAGTGCCATGAGCAGGCCCCTCATTCATTTTGGCAGTGACTATGAGGACCGTTACTATCGTGAAAACATGAACCGTTTCCCCAACCAAGTGTACTACAAGCCTGTGGATCAGTACAGCAACCAGAACAACTTTGTGCACGACTGCGTCAACATCACCGTCAAGCAGCACACGGTCACCACCACCACCAAGGGGGACAACTTCACCGAGACTGACATCAAGATAATGGAGCGCGTGGTGGAGGAGATGTGCACCACCCAGTACCAGAAAGAGTACCAGGCTTATTATCAAAGAGGGGCGAGCGTGATCCTCTTCTCTTCCCCTCCTGTGATCCTCCTCATCTCTTTCCTCATGTTCCTGATAGTGGGATGAGGGCAGCTTTGTTTTCACCAGGTTGGGGCAGGGGATGTCTACCTACAGCCCTTTAGTGGCAGTGTCTCGTTCTTGCTTCTCCCTTTGTCCCCTTAGGCTAATACCCTGGGCACCGATGGCACGGGGAAATGTAGGGCGGGCCTGGCGCACTTTGTCTTCTAGCCCCGTTTGATTGGGTCCTCATGGGCCAGTGCAGGTGCCGGGCTGGTTAAGAGTGTAACAGCAAATAATCATTCCATGATCTAGGATAACTTCTTGTCTAGTGCAACAGATTAAAGTTGAAATATTCTAAAAACAGTCTTTAAATACCTTTGCCTACATACCTCCAGCTCCTTGCCCCGCTCCAGCTCAGTACACTAATGCTCCATCGTAGTTAGCAGTGACTTTGTAGCAATTTGGACAGTTTTCTCATTTGTTTTAAGAAAAGCTGACTGCATTTGCCTGTTTAAATAGCACTTCTGCCAAATTTGGAAGGATACTGCTTCAAAAAACAAAACGAGAAATCCTTAGCACTTGGGCCCAGGCTCAGCCTGCTGGGGAGCATGTGGCCTATGTCTGCAGAGAAATGTGACACTGTTTTGCATTTCAGGATACACAGCAGCTATTGCATCAAGAGTAAATATTCATACAACATTAGAACTCTGGGCAGAGGATATTTGCATAGGAAATGAACATAACTAACATAATATGAGGGGCTTCTGGGACTAAAAGTATCCAGCATTTGGGAGTGGTGCCCTTGGAGGGTACACACATGGGGCATTCCTTTCTTTAGTAACAGAAACTGTAGAGAATTAAGGCAGTTACAAATTAAATGACCTTCTGGACACTAAGAACAAATGTCCTTTTTTCATCTACCTGGAAACAGGAATGATTTTGACATTAGGTGAAGCCAGGAGATATTAATATAGAGGAAGTACAGCTGCAAAAACACCATTATCAGAAGATTATGTAATGAAGAAAATAATGTACAAAGAAATGCTTACGTTTCTTCATTGCTGTCTCATAATTGTCAAAAACCAGAATTAGGCTGAGTCCTTCGTCTCTGTAATTGGCTTTTGAGTTGAAGAATAAGGAATCAATCCAAAAAAAGAAATCTTAGGTTGGAGATGACAGAAACATGATCCATTCAGAATGGAAAAAGAAATTCTGTTCTTGTTCTTGTTATTCACGTAAGGTAAAAGTATTCTCTGGATCGTTCAATATTGTCACCTAGCAGATCTATATTACTATCCTGCAATGTCATTGGCTTGCACTGTGCGGGTATTCTGTGTAATATATGACAAACTTAGAAATTTTGGTTAGGGCAGTTAACATCTGAAGTATCTAAGGCATTACCTGTTTTTGTAAGGTACTGAATATGTGGGAAACCCTTTTACGTGGTCCTTAGGCTTATAATGTGCACTGAATAGTTTTATATAAGGATCCAAAGTGATCTTTGAAATGTGCATGTACTTTATATTTTCTATATTTGTAACTTTGCATGTACTTGTTGTATAAAAATTTATAAATGTTTAATATCTGACTACAATTAAACAGGAGCTGAGATGAGCCTCTTCTGTGGAGTTGGCAGTAGTAGTCACTGGGACATGGCTCGCCTCCTGCTGGAGCCCCCAGGCTGGGGGCCACCGGGGTACTTGGGGCCGGGGCCCTGTTTCCCTAACTGTCCTGGCAAATCTGCCCCTTTCCTCCCACCCTCCCTCTCTGAAAACTAGCAATAAACAAACACAAAGTCATTATATTTTGTATTGGGCAAAGATATCCATTTTCAGTAACTAACTCTCAGCACCCTTACTTGACCCAGTGACTTCAGAAAAACTTACAGGACCCCATTTTCATTGCCTTCCTTGCTGTTCAGACCATCTCTCTTAGTTTGTTAGGGCTGCCATCGCCAAGTTCCACAGAGCGGGGGGCTTAAACTGCAGAAATTTGGTTTGGAGGCTGCAAGTCTGAGATCAAGTTGTTGGCAGGGTTGGTTTCTCCCGAGGCCTCTCCTGGGCTTGAAAATGGCCATCTTTTCCCTGTGTCTTCACATGGTCTCCCCTCTGTGTGTGCGTGTGCCCGAACCTTTTTATAAGAATACCACTCATCACATTGGCTAAGGCCCATTCTAACAGCCTCACTTTAACTCATTAAAGGTCCTATCTCCAAATAGAGGTCTTGGGGACTGGGACTTTCTCATATAAATTTTGAGTGGACGCAGTTCAGCCCACATCACCACCTTTCTAGAAATGTCGTGGCAGCGCGTCAGTGTCACTCACCAGATGTACAGGCAGTCCCAGGACTGCGTGCCTCGTGGACCCATGTGCACACACTCTGCCGGGATTCTCGTATCAAAAGGCCATCATCTGGATTATTCTCTGTCCTCAACAGACTGGACCACTGCCCACCACTCCACGTAGGACTGTCCAGGGTGCCTACCTCAGTGCCCGTTTACAGCAAACAAACGCTTCCATTCTCGGTCCAGCCCCTGGAATCCAGTCACCACACCCCCATGGCTGGCACAAAGGGAAGAGTTTCACGATCAACCAAATTTGTTTAGTTTGGCTCATACTAAGAAGATCTAAACCCCTAAACCAGATAATGTGCCTCCCCCACACAAATACACTACAAACACCTGGCTTTTAGTTACACTGATTGAGTTAATTAACATGAAACAGTGTTCGCTGTAATTCTGTGGGTGCTATAGAAAGCTGGCAAGATCCCCTTCTATCATGCTGCCAAGTTCCGAATGCTACGCATGCCTCTCACCCTGCTCACAGCAGCTGCCCACACGTGGAATGTGTCCACTCGGGTTTCTTTGTGGCCCCAGCTCACCTTCCCAAGGCCCCAACTCCAATGTACTCGGAGAGCCTCGCCGATTCCAGGCCCTCCCAGCAGTGTGCAGGTGCATTGCCCATCATTGAGACTCAGACCAGAACCCAATGAGGAAGGAGACTATTTTTTTCTAGCTAATGCCCATTTCCCCATTCTCCAGCGTGCCTCCGAGTCTCCTTTTATTCCACCCTCTGATGAATAATGAAAAGAATGAGTAAATTATTACATGCTCAGCTAAGCCCAAATCCCCACCACACCCCATAAAGTCTGTCAGAGATCATTCTTAGCTTTGGGAATTTTAGGAGCAAGATTTTTCGCTGCCACTCATGGAAGAGGCCCATTGCGACTCTGCTACACATCTAATATGCACCAGCTTTGGCTACTGTCTTCTCCATAACATGCTAGGAAATGAACTCAATGAATGAATCAGGACAGGCTGTTTGGCTCTGTTCATCCAAGTTATGGAAAATGCCCACTGAAAACTACCATCCTGTTTTTGACATAATCACCTGAAGAGTAATTGAACAACAGAAACATTGTTTTGTTTAGCATCTCCTAGTATGTGATAGTAAAACCACAACAGCAAATGGAAGAGCATATGTGTCCTTCAGGGTGAAGAGTGTAGATCATGCAATATCAGTCACCCACAAAGCTGGATGAAGTACTGATCTACAACATGAACCTTGAAAACGCGATGCTAAGTGAAAGAAGCCAGACACATAAAGGTAAATATTGCATGATATCACTTTATTTTTAGTTTTTATTGATTTCTAGAGAGAGAGGGAGAGAGAGATAGAAACATCGATGAGAGAGAACATGGACTGGCCACCTTCTGCATGTCCCACAGTGGGGATTGGGCCCACAACCTGGACATGTGCCCTGACCTGGAATCGAACCAGTGACTTGGTGCATGGGTCGACACTCAACCAGTGAGCCACACCAGCTGGGCTTGCATGATTCATTTACATGAAATATCCAGATTAGGCAAATCCATACAGATAGAAAGTATTCGTGGTTGCCAGGGGTTGGAGCGAGGTAGGGGAATACGTAGTGACCACCACTGGGTGTGGGGATATTCTGTAATCAATGAACAACTTTATGAATGTACTAAATATCACTGAATTGTACACTTTGAAATGGTGAATCTCATGGTATGTTAATTATATCTCAATAAAGCTTTTTTAAAAACATAGAATTATCTATCTAATAATAGAAGTGATTGGGAGGTAGGTATAGGCATTGTTTGAAATTTAATTTGTCATAATAACATTTTTGCCGACTTGTTTTTCTCACAGGCGTTTCAGGAAAATGTACAGAAGCACGAATAGCCTCATGTCCACCGTGTTTGTAAACACTTGGCCCAAAAGCTGTCCTGACCACAGTCAATTAAAGCTGAAAAATGTAATGAGACACTCTTGGCCTTTAAAAAGATGAGCACAACAATACTATTTAACCACAGACTCCTGAGTGTAAAACCTGTTTGCCTGATCTGAGATACTCTATAGTAGAAGACCAGCTGGTATCAATAGTTGATGGGATTGTTACCAGGTGAACAGACCTGTTACCCATTTATGGCAGTAATTCAGCCCCCTTTACTCAGCATTAATGCCAAAGGTTCCTAAAAAAAAAAAATATGCATCTTTGATGAACGAATGAATGAAGGGTGGTCTTGGGAAATGGCTTTGTGACAAGTCTAGTGATTACCTTTTCTGCTAGATTACAAGTTATTCATCATACAGACTATTTCAACAACTTTCATCCACCAGATTGAAACTTTACTCCTAGCCTCAAAGAAGGTATTTCTCCTCATTTCTCAGTCTGCCCAGTGAAGGTAGCCCCAACTGTTCTGTTCCCACCTCACAGCAAAGGTATGCAGACCAGTACGGACGCACCCTCGCCTGCTATGAGCTAAGTCTTTGGCAAGACTGGGCAGTGTGAATACTAGGCCTTGAACACTAGAGGCCTTCATTTGAGCCTTATCTTCCAAACAGCCCGTATCACATCCCTGTCCTACTCACTTTGACCCGTTTGCCCTGTTCAGAGGCCCTTTTGAGAAACAGATGCCCCATCTGAATCATGCAGGTGATGCTTTGGCTTTCCCTCCATTGGTTTTCCTTCCATCTGGTTTTCCCTCAGACTTTTATACCCTCTCAGTGGCAATCCATTCCTCCATTGGCACGTGCCCTGCCCATCCTCACTCCCCTCCCAGAACTGACCTCATCCTCTTCCTTCCAGGCAGTCATCTCTGCAGACTGCCACCACAGTGATCACCACCTCTGCTACCCTCTGATAATCCTTGCCTGGTACATGCCATCATACACACTGAGCCAAGGGGCTTGCATGGATCAAAAATATCAGCAGTTATAGCTTACTACCATCATTTACCACATCTAATTTTAAAAGGTATCTTCAAACACAACACATCATGAATCTTTACCTTATTGTCCCTGGAGGCACCCCTAAGATGCCTTCATTCCTTTTCTCATGCTCTTTTCTCCACATGGAATGTCTTCCCTACCCCTTCTTCACCTGGAAAACTCCTATTTATACATCAAGACCCAGCTGAAACGCCTATCCCTGACACGGACCCCTTTGTGAGTTGGGTGAAGCCTAAGGACCCTGTTCAAAATAATGTTTTGTTTTGTTTTATCCCCAAAGCAGCATTTATTTACCCATCGAATTCTAAAACATTTAATTAGGAAGTCTGGCATTTCAATAATTACCCATCTTGATTGATATGGACTGACACACATGGCGCTGTCAGGATACACAAGGACAATAGCCAAAGAATTACAAAAACTAAATCCATGTTTCTTAATTGCAACCAAAACCAAAACAAGTTACAGGTATCAAAATTTAAATGTATTACATTGAAAAGAAGGTTTGTGCACGTCATAATTTAAAAAGGCAAAGCAAGGCGCTACTGAAACCTCATGTTAACAGTTTATTATAAAGCTGATGGAATGGAGCAAGTGGTTTTCCATTAGATGAAGAAATGTAGGAAGGGTGAATATTTTTGCATGCGCAAGATGAACTGCTTAACAAAGCACTATTGGCTCACTTTAAGTAAATCCTTTAAATATCACTGTGGCCTGTTTTGGCTAGTTCTCATTTCTAAACTTCCCCATTGCTTTTGCCTGGATTTCACAAAGATCAACAGGCACAATAAAACGCCTCATTCAGAACATACTCGTCTTCACAATTCCAAAAAGGAGCCCCTGTAGGCTCAAAGCAACCATCAGTCCAGCAATGCCCACGAAGATGTATCTGAAGCTGCTTTCTAGAGGCAGGGGAGCAGATCTGAGTAGCTGTGCTGCCAATACAGAGAGGTTTAGCACTAAATACTGAGTAATTATGTCAAGGAAGAAGCAGTGATGATGGGGGTGGTGGGTGAGGGAAGGGCCAGGGAACCAAGGCTCTTCAGTTGCCTTCTCCTGCTTCTTCATCCTGCTGGTGGTTGGCTCACAGGGCGAGGTTATCTCGCAACTGCATGATGAACGTAGAGTCCTTACGGGAATCCCCGTTTGGTGTGTCCAGCCCAGCTATGGCGTCATCAAAGGCTTGTTTGGCCAAGAGGAGCTATGGCATCATCAAAGGCTTGTTTGGCCAAGAGGCAGGCCCACTGAGATGCACTCAGAATCTCTTGACCTGGAGGAGCTGAGGGCCAGGCCCAGAGGATGGGATGTGTCAGCTGCACACGCTCTTTGCTGCTTTCAAAGACTTCCTTGTAGGCC